GGCAGGGGCAGAGGCAGGTGCAGGGGCAGGGGCAGGGGCAGGGGGCAGGGGCAGGGGCAGGGGGCAGGGCCTCAGGGGTAGCAGGCTTTTCAGCCTTTGCTGACCCCTAGGAGAACTTTCAGCCGTTGCCCGTTGGACTTGGAAATATATATTATATATTATATATATAAAAAAATTAATCGGAACAGGACCGGACCGGAACGGAACCGGAATAAACCGGGATATACCGGTACCGATACACCGGTATCAAATTGTGGCCGGTACCGATACACCGGTATCAAATCGTGATACCGTTTCGTCCCGTGTACCGGTTCACGGTGTCCCGTTCCGTCCCGAATACTTCCGGACCGGAACGAACCGGAATGGTACCGGTACAACCCGGTCCAGCGCCCAGTCTTATACCCATCCTCTAGATCTGTACCATAGCCCTTCTCCCCTTCGTCTCTTGATGAGTATTTGTTTGCTAGGTTAGTATTTAACTCTGTGTAACATAGCTGCATTTCCTTGATATATATTGTAATCAACTGTATTAGCCGTTTTGTTGTATTTTCTTTTTCTGGTACTGCTGTGTTTCCTATTTCGCTTCTCGTATCTTGTGATTTGTGGCTGCACCTTCTGCTTTGTTTTATGTATCATTATGAGTGATTCTGCGAGTCTTGATCCTATAGTTAGGAATTTGTGCTTTATCTGAATTTAGGATCTTCCTTAACACCAGAGGGAGCTCTTGCCAAGCCTGATATTCATGATCTGTTTGTGATTCAATGGCTATATTAGCCAAGGCGTCAGCCAAACAGTTACCCTCTCTGAAGACATGAGTAATTGTTGCTCTGGTCTTCTGAAGTAGCTCCCGTATTTCCTCCACCTTTTCTATTATTTCCCAAGGAATCCTCCAAGTCTTCAGAATGATCTTCTTGAGACTTAATGAATCTGTTTCAATGATAGCATTCCATAACCTTCTTCTCAGACACAGAGCTGAAAGAATTGCAACTGTTTATGCTTCCATGTTTGTTACAATTCATATTCCTTTAGCGTTAGCATAGATTAGATCACCCCTACTGTCTCTAATACAAAAACCAAAGGAGCTCTGACCTGGATTTCCTTGGCATGCACCATCTATATTACATTTTACTTGGTGTTCTTCTGGGGGTCTCCATGTAACTCTTAAGTAATGCAACTTGGGTCTGTAATTGTGTATTCTGATGATGACTTCCTACCAGGACCATTTTAAGTTCTTTATCCATGGGAATTGAAACTTAACCATTTGTCTCACTACTTCCGATGTCATGGTCACCATGTTTTCATAGCTAAAGCAACTCCCATGTTTGATGACATTCCTTATTTTCCATAAACTCCACATTATGATAGCTGGCATGGCTTTATAAATGCTCTTTAGTTTAGATGTTGCCTCCTGCTTCCACTAAGCATTGATGAGCTGTTGTAGGTGCATCCCTTCTATGTTAATTCCTGCATGATTGGAGAAAAACCTCCATAGTTTAGTAACTATGGGGGCTGTTAGGAATAAATGAGTAATTGTTTCTTCCTCTTTTCTGTCACAGCACCAACATCTAGAAACTATATTGATTTTCATCTCTTAAGATTGTCATTAGTGGATATTCTTCTCTTCCACACTCTCCATAAGAATAAATTGATCTTAAAAGGTAGCCCTTTATTCCAGATGAGTTCATAGTCCCTTTTTTTTTTATCATGTTTGGCTCTCATCAATTCCCAAGCTGATTTCACTGTGAACCTCCCCTGTGAATTTGTCATCCACCATGCTATATCATTGGTAGACTGGATATTTGGTGGTGAAATATTCTCCATGATGTAAACTGTCAATTCTGTTGACAAATTTTGTAGTAACTTGTCTCTATTCCACCCCTCTGTTATGCTAAAATCTTTAACCTCCAACTCTTCTTCCCTTGCATTCTCCTTTATGTGATACTATGCTTATTGTTTAGTCCAATCATCAAATCAGAAGCTAGAGTTTCCAGCCTTAACCTACCACAAGATTTCATGTTCTACTTCATCCCTGATTGCTGTCATTTTCCTCCACACATGTGATGTGCTAAATCCCTGAGCAAAAATAGGGTGGTGCTTGTTGCAGTATTTGTTCCACATATATGCAGCCCATAATGAATTTGTAGAAGTTCTAAAGTTCCACCAAAGCTTAGCAAAGAGGGCCTTTGATACATCATGTAATGATCTCCGCCCCAAGCCCCTTTCAGTTTTTGGATAGCACATTTTATCCTATGCCACCCAGTGCTTATTCTTAGACCCTGCTGTATTTGCCCAAAAGAATTTTGCAAAAATTCTATGCATCTAATTAATGACACAAGATGGAGGGTTCATAGCTGATAGAACATAAATTGGCATAGACTGCAACACATGGGTTATCAACACATATCTACCCCCAAAAGAGAGTAGTTTGTTTTGCCAAAGACTAATTCTGTTCATCACCTTCTTAATCAAAGCTTAAAAATGAGATCTATTCCTCATCCCATAAAAAATGGGGCACACCAGATAAGTAAAAGGAAAAGAACCTTGCTTAATACCTGTAATCTTTTTTTATTTGTCTGCAAGTTCCTACTGGTACCTTCTCATGCAAATAGAAGAGACATTTGTCAATATTTATCATTTTTCCAGACACTATTCCATAGCCCCTTAATACATTCTTCATCTTTTTCATTGAATTAGGATGTCCTGAATAAAACAAAATAGTATCATCTGCATAAGATAAATGGTTAATCTCTGGGCTCCACTTTGGTAATCCAAATCCCTTAAAATTTTGATCCTTAGAAAGCTTATTTAGATTTCTAGCCAGAACTTCAGCTGCTATGATAAAGAGGGTTGGTAAGAGAGGGTCCCCTTGCTTCAATCCTCTAGTTGACTGAAAAAAACCAAAGGATTGCCTATTTATGATAACTGAGTACCAATTGTTAGACACCAGCCTTACCACCATGTCTATTATTCTTTCTGAGAAGCCAAAACTTCTAAGCACCTTAGAGAGGAAGATCCGTGATACTCTATCATACGCCTTCGCCATGTCTAACTTCACCACCACATTAGTAAGCTTATTTCTTCTATTGATGTCTCTGACTATCTCCTCAGCCAAAAGGACATTTTCAGTAATACTTCCCCCTTTCATAAACCCTGCTTGATTTTGTGAGATTATTCCGGGGAACACTGCTTTCATGTAGCATCATTGATATAATCTTATTAGTGAATGTGCTTAAGCTGATAGGTCTCAGGTCCCCAAAGTTATCAACCACTTCTTTTTTGGGGATTAATATCAGATTGGAACGAGTAATAAATCTTGGAAGTTCTTGTCCACAGAAAAAAGCTCTTACCATGTTACTGATATCCACCTTTACAATGTTCCAGCAGCATTGGAAAAATTTCCCAGAGAAGCCATCTGGACCACTTGCATTATCCCCATTCATGGCAAAAACCACCTTTTTGACCTCCTCATATGTTGGTAATCTTCCCATGTCTTCATTTTGTTCATCTGAGACCAATTTAGGTATGATATCTAACATTGAGAAATCAGTGGGGTTATTATTTTCCATTTGCTCCTTAAAAACATGTGCTGCCTCTTCTACAATATTCTGAGTTGAAGTAATAAGATCTCTCTGTCTAAATTTTATTTCTGAGATCTGCAGCTTTCTTCTCCTACCCTTGACATATGCATGGAAAAACTGTGTTTTTATCTCCCTTTTGGAACCATTTCATCCCTGCCTTTTGCTTCCAATAATCTTCCTCAATGTGCAAATATCTTTTCAGTTCTGCTTCAGCTTTCCTTAGTGAGCTCATATTTTCTTCTGTTGGGTTGATTTCCAGTTGCATTTCTTTTGCCTTTACAATGTCCTCCAAAGTAGCTACCTACTGGAAAAAGTTTCCAAAAGTTGTTTTGCTCCACTGGACCAGTGCTAGTTTAACCCATTTCAGCTTGGTGTGGACAATTGTAAAAGGTGATCCTGCAGCCTCTTCTTTCCAAACCTCCTCCACTATCTTCTGAAATTTTTTGTGCTTGGTCCAGAAATTTAGGAATCTGAAAGGCTTCAATACTTGCTCTTGAGTTATGCTACATGTAACATGAACTGGAGCATGACTTGACCCCTCTTTGATCAAATGATACACTTCACTTTCTTGTAAAATATTCATGAATTCATTATTCCCAAAGACTGTCAAGTCTTTTGAATATGCAATCCTGCTCTATTCTACCATTCCACTATGTATAACAGCTACTAGAGAACTTAATCTCATGTAATGCACATACATTCATGCACTGTACAAAGTTTTCTACCTCACTTTGAGTAACTGACAACCCTCCTAACTTCTCTGATTCATCCAGTATAATGTTGAAATCTCCCCCTATCAACCAAGGGCAATTTGTATTATTTGCTATTAGCTCTAAGTCCTCCCACAACTCCAATCTATCTAAAGCACTACATCTAGCATACACTGCAGTTATCTTGAAGAGACTATGCGTGTCTTTATGCTTGAAGGAAGAGGTAAGTTGTTACATGGTGTCTGTGTATTCTTGTTCCTCCCATTCCTCATCCCAAAACACCAAAATCTTTGAAGAGTAATTAACTCTGGCATACTACTTACTAATTTTCCTCCTATAGTTATCTAACTCTGTTGGACTTTGAAAAGGCTCTAAAAGAGAAATAGATGAGTAGTGATGTTGTATATTTAAGTTCAGTAATCTCTCAAAAGAATTTTGTGATTTTACTGACCTAATATTCCAAAATATAGCTTTATCTATCATTGATCAAAATCTGCAGGCCTACTTTTTCTACTCTTTGTATTGACATAAGACAAATATGGCTTGCTATATCTATTCATCCCAAGTTTGTCTTTTAACATCTGTATTTGTCTAAGTGACAAATCTCCTTCCTTGCTAATCTGGTTTATGTTGGCCTCAAATGTTTTTTCCTCTTCTGTATCTTGTTTCTCCTGCAACTCTTGTGGTGACAACTTATCTAATTTTGGATTCTCTACTTTTTCCTTTGTTGGTGTTGTTGCTTTAATCACCCCTCCGATTGTGTCTTTTTTTGTTGCCCCTGTGTTGGTTTCCTTATGTTGTGTTTCACTAATTACTTCCTCACATTCTTGCCTCCATAAATCAAAGTTGCCAGAATTATTTGTTGTAGGGATCTCTGAGCTATCAGTTGCAGAAATTTGTTTCAAACTTGTGCTAGTCGCTCTTCTTTGCATTGTCTTAGATGATCTTGCATCACTAATTTGACCTGCTATCTCCATGATTGCATCCACTTCCTTCCCTACTGCTTTATTGTTCTTGCCCCCTACTTCCAATTGTATGTCTGCAACCTTGGGATTTTTATGTTCTTGCTCTGTGTTATGTTTTTGTGCAGCCTCCATGTCTTCTTCTAAAGCCCCAAATTGTTTTTTTGTATCCACCTATGAGTTCCTCTCCTGATGTGGTTTTTGGTTCCAGACTTGTTTTGGTTTCCTTCTTTGATTGTAGTTTCCTCTTCTATATCCAGATCTTCCCCTCTACTCCTTAAATTCTATATCTTCTGACTTCTTCCCTTTGTCTTTCTTTTCTTTGGCATTGTCTTCTACAGTATTTGTTATTTCTTCTTTCTGTTCCCCTTGATGATTTGTTTCTCCCTTTTGTTCCTGCTCCTTTCCAACTTTCTCCTCATTTTCTTCTTGTGGATATAGTTCTGGATGAATGATATAGCAATCTTTCTCATTATGTCCCTGCAATTTGCATGATCTGCAGTATTTCAGAACATAGTCATAGTTAATTACCACCCATTTTTCCACAACGTCTCCTGACTTTTTCCTCATTCCGATGTTAATTCTTTTTGGAAAATCTCCCAGCAAATCCACTTCAACTTTCACTCTAGCACAACTTGGCCTCGTTCTGTTTTGAGTAGCCATATCTACTTGTAAAGGTCTTTCCACAGCTGCTGCCATCAAAAATATAGTTTCATTGCCAAAAAAGTTTGGAGGAAGGGATAGGAAAGAAATCCAAGCTATTGTTGTGGTCGTTTCCTCCTCTGGATCAAATAATGGATCCCATTTCAGTGTCCTCATTAGGTATGACCGATAATTATATGTAATGTAAAACTGGGGCTAAGGCTGGTAAACGGACAAGTTTTTGACCGGTCCGGTCCGGTTCCCGTACCGGTAAGTCCGATACCGATTGAATCGGTAAGGAACCGGTCTTATAGGGTACCAAAATCGGTACCAAAATGGAACCCGGTTTTTTATCCAGTTGATCCGATTCGGTAAGAATTGGTTTCGGTCTGGTTCCTGTCCGGTTGAACCGGTTCAACGGTCTTTTAATTTTTTTTATTTTTTTAAGTGAACGTTAAAATTGAGCCGTTGGGCTGGGGCCCAAAACGGCTCAAAACAGCCCCCCACCCCTCTCTAACCCCTTAACACTATAAATATACCCATATTCTTTATTTAAATCACAAATTCACAAATTATCTCATTAACATCTTACAAAATCTCTCAATTTTCAATCTCTCATAAATTCATAATTATTATTTTGTGATATTGGCTTGGAGTTCGGATTTTGGAGATTTATTTGAAGTAAATCGGAAGCTTCAATTGGCATCTCTCAATTCCGGCTTTGGTTATACATCTACTTTTACGTAGACGTTCAGTACATTCGTTCCAACTTTAATTTTTTATTTGTTTATTAATTAAGTTTTTTTTTTTGTTATATTATCTTGCTTGTTTTTCATAATATTTAATTATTTTAACTACTAGTCCGGCTACCGAATTACCGGAACAAGATGAAGTCCCCTCTTTACCTACTTTTTCAAAGACCGTTGTACGTGTTAAAAGATCTTTAGTATGGAAATTTTTGGTACAAAATGAGGAAAAAACTACTGTTACTTGTACGAAATGTAAATTGATCATGAAACATGTAACTACGGGTACACAAGGGGGAACGGGACGACTAAGAACACATTTGAGAAAGTGTAATAAAGAATTTGCTCGCCTAGATGATATAGAAAGGGCTAATAGAAATGGAATACCCATACCTGAAAATTCTATGGGAGTTGGAGGTTCTAATATGGTTCAAAGTGAATTAAATATGACTATCCCGGCTAGCCGAAGCACACACCGCACATATAGTAAAGAAAAAGATCGTAGAGAATTAGCTAAAATGGTTGCTGTTTGTGGTTTGTCTTTTTCATTTCCTTCCCATCCTGGTTTTATTCAGTATATTCGGGAATTGTATAACCCAGATTATGAAGGTATTCCAAGAAGTACAATTAAAAGTGATCTTTTTAAATATCAAAAAGAATATTGTCATTTTCTTCGTTGTTTATTTGCTTATTATGATGGTAGATTATCTATTACTTCTGATATGGGACGTAGTCCTAATGGTAATGATTATTTTACAATTACTGTCCATTGGATTGACCATGAATGGAACATGCAAAAACGAATATTAGGATATAAATATGTTGAAGAAACTAAAACCGGTGCTTATATAGCAACAAAAATAGGCTTAATTTTACAATTTTATGGAATATGTGATAAAATAATGAGTGTCACTTTAGATAATGCTTTTAATAATTTGAAAGCAATTGATTATTTAAAATGTAGACTTTGTCCAATTGATAATGATTCTTTTCATATTAAGTGTGCCGCACATGTGTATAATTTGATAGTAAAAGATGGTATTTCTCAATTTGGAATTTCTTGTGAAAAAATTAGACTTGCTTGTAATTGGATTTTTAAAGCTAAAATAAAAGCTAGAATTACAGAATTTAAAAATCGTTGTAAAGAATGTGGACTTGAATATAGAAAAGTTCTAAAAGAAGTATGCACTAGATGGAATTCTTTATTTGAAATGCTTCAAGTTGCTTATATTTATCAAGAGCCGGTATAATTAGTTTTTAATGCTCATAATGCGGACCCGAATTTGAGAATTGGCTATGAAGGTTGGGAAAATACAAAAGAACTTATTGAATTTTTAAGTGTTTTTTATAAAGCAACAAATGCTGCTTTTGGTCAATATTATCCAACTATTTCTTCTGTTTTAGT